GTAGCGCAGTATTATAAATAGCCATGCGTGGGAACGTTTCATCCTGTTTTTCCGCCAAGAGTCCAAATTAAGCACCGTAAGCAAATGCTTAATTGATTACATTTCGCAATTTAATTAGCCTTCATTTTTTTAACGCTTAAGCCTGCGTCACGGAACTAAATTTGAGTTAATTTTAGACCTTGAAGCTGCGCCCGTTGGACTAATTGATTGTATTTGGCAATTCTATTAGCCTTCTTATTTTTAACGCTTTAGCCTGCGTCACCAAACTAAATTTAGCTTAATGTTAGACCCTGAGGGCAATTTATATGTCTTAGTTACTACAACTCAGTAATAAATCAGATAAACTTATGCGCTCGTCCGCCGACACAGCACAACAATTTTGTTTCGCTCTCACGCACGTGTCACCGTGCTCACTTTGAAACCTGCACTGGAGACATAATATTCACCAATACGTTTGTAGTTTATGTCGAGATGTCTATAAGAGTTTGGCATTGATGACCGATTCGCAATGATTAGACAATATTGTTATATGTTATTTGTTTTCGTTGTAATTTCAAAGTGGTCCAGAGGCCTCATAGAGTGTTTAGAGTAGATTAGAGTATATGATAATTTATCTTATAAATCAACTTAAACTCGATAAAATCAGTGTGGTTTTCCTTGCCCACCGACGTAGCCCAAATGCTTTGAAAGTTAATTATCAGTAACATTATCATTATTACTATTATTGTTATTATTATTATTATTATTATTATGATGATGATGATGTTATTATTATTAGTATTATTTATTTGTATTAATATTAATATTCATGATTATTTTGTGGTGTGTTTCATAAGATTGTTTTTTTTAGGAAGGCTTCAAGATGTTATGACGATTCTTGTATAGTTTAAACTGTGCTTTTTAAAGTCGTCAAAAATTTAAAGATAAACTTGATTTCCTGAAAATAGATCTGATAAAATTTAACGCCAAATGGAAAAAAAAATCTTTGTTTACCATCAAAGGTTACAGCTCTTTAATTAAGGCGTCACATAGAAAACTCAATCATTTTTCATGAATGGGTTTAGAGGACGCATATATGTTAAATGCCATCTTTTTCAGTAATGTTTTCACCATAATTTGTTTCCGCGGCTTAAAATGGGATGCCGTATATACAAAACAAACTTCGACTTCTTCACGCAAGAATGTTTTTCGTGAAAATTGAGTTTTTCTCTTTTAAAAAACATGGTAAAACCTCATTACTCGTTTTCACTCGTGCATCCGAGTTACTGAATTAATTTGTTGTGAAATGTTTCCAATAACCTTGGTCACATTCTATCCAACCCTTATACGTCCGTCGCAACTGCCGGAAACCACGATGAAATTGCATCCTTTAGAGTAAGCCATTATTTTTTCATGAGCAAACATCTTTTTTCCCATTTTTTCAGCGACTCAAATTTGGCTTCAAATTAATGGAAACTTCAAAGCAGTGGCTTAACATGAGCATGAAATCTAATAGGAAGCGGGGAACGTCAAGGAAGATTAATTCCGACTACAGACCCCATAAGTTGATACGTTTAGCTGATCCGGTTTTTTTTTGAAGGAAAAACATGGTTTGCGTTCGTTAGAAAGCAGGTTTGTTCATTTCATATTTTACAAGTAGTCCATCTATCAGTGTCTAATTTTTCTTACTGTGAGGGTTATAAGTAAGGTGTTAAACCTCATCTGCTAAGTACATGTAGCTTGAGTTCAAACAGTGCCTCTGTTACATTTCACAAAAAAAAACTGCAAAGTCCTTAATTTCATTGGGAATCCTTGGAAATAATAGCTCTTTATGTCCGGTGAATTTTTAATTCGTTTCTTAATGAGCAAGATCTCTCGGCTGCTTTGAACTTTTGATATGAAAACCGGATTCAGAATGAAATTCAGAAGTTTTGTCATAGTAATACGAACGAAAGGCAAATAGGAAAAAAAATGTTTATTGAAGGAAAGTGGAAATGGTAAGATAGCTTAATTTTCCGAAAATGATTTAACTATGCGCAGAAGTTCAGTTTAAAAGGTGCCGGCTAAATTTTCTACCTCTCTACATTTCTGACACTCCGCGCACCCAATTCAAATTTCCTTTTGAAATGAAATATAGTTATTGATTTGATAAGCAGAGCTTTGCGTAAAGTCTTGCCATTTACCGTTATCATTTGCCAATAGCATCATGTTTTGAAAACCTTATTTCCAACTGTCACCAAGGTTGTCTTCGTTTCTTTTTCCTTTCGTGTTACGTCATTTTCTGATAATATTCCACTTTCCGTTTCTGAGTTATTCGTCAAATCAAAATATATTAACAAAACCAGTTTAAGAAAAGGTTAACTTTGTTAATTTAAATTACGTTGCTGGCTCTTTTTCGAATTTTTTTTTTTTTTTTTTTTTGCCTTTAACCGTTCTCAATTTTGTGTTTTTTTTTCACAACTGTTGACATCTGTTTGATTTATTCGAGTTTTGTTTTTGAAATCAAACTGTGACAGCACTGAGCCCACATCCAAAGATTCAGAGAGACCTTTCTTTTAAGACAACGTTTGTTAGCCGAAAAGTAAGTTGCTTCTGTTACTTGGAAATTTTCAGATTGACTGATTAAAACCCATCGGACGTAAAACTGTTAAAGGTAAACTGTGTATTTCTATGTTTGTGATTATCTGACATCCAGCTGCATTCTGCTGACTAATGGCTAAAAACTGTCAGCGGGATTTCGGCGACAAAACGTACCGCCAAAAATTGTTTTTGTTTGTGGTCAGCAAGCTGTTTTCCAAGCAATATTCAGTCACATCATGAGCTTTTCGATCCGACTTTTGCTTCTCTAAATATATTTGCCATTATGTAACAAGGAGGTCGTGGGGCTCCACCCGAAATGGGAAGGAACAGTTATTCTTGACCTACGGGCGACGATAACACTTTTTCTCCTTGAATTAGTTCTAAAAGGTTTGTAAATGGCTACGGCGATTATTTATTCGCCATATTCGCACAAACGTGGATAAAACTTTTTAACTGATAAAACATGATTTAATCACGCACAGGTGCAAACTTTTCGCAAACATTTCGAAGATTTATTCTTGGGTGCAAATATTAAAACTTTGAATCCGCCCTGTTGGTCTTTTTCCGTCAAGATTTCTGGTATTTTGCATAGATAAGGGCGCAGGCTGTTTCATTGGCAAAATGTATCAAGATTTATATATTGTGCTGTCAGCTACCACCAACGGCCACACGCTTTACGTGGGGTCAAAAATGCTTTCGAAGAAGGAACTGAATGAACATTGAAGCTTTTGTGCTAGAAACCTTTGATGGAAGGCCTAAATTGAAAACTAAAGAAACAAACGTTGCATGACTGAATTATTATAACCCGACGACATGACGTTCGAAGTGAGATGACAAACTACTTAAAATATAGAATGTCTATGAAATCTTTTGTAAGGTAAATCTTTAAACTTAAAAAAGGCAGTAATAGTTGTTATAGATGGAAAATGGAGCTTCTACACCGGTCTACGGCTTAAGACACCGATAAAAATTTCTTATTGCAATTGTGGAACAAGAATTTTTTTTTTGCGGTTGTTTAATTATATTCTACAAGTGTACGCATATATAATAGACTCGACATATGTTTAGTCTTCCTTAAAACTAATGCTGAAAGATATTTCTTTTCAACATTAAATTGATGTAAATGAATCAGTGTGATGCCGAGTGGAATCTATTTTATTTTCAACTTTTGGGCGCCGTATTTTGCTTAATAGGTAAGTTTTCTTATGTAAAGAAAATTGACCTCATAAATTACATCATTTTCCACAAGAAATGTCAAATCATCGATGGACAGAATTATCGGTCGTTTTCAAGGCCATTGCCAAGACTGTAGTCACGTATTAATGGTTCAAGCGTTCGAGATTTTGCTTTCATGTTTAATATCTTTATTTAACATTCATTCCATGTTATTTTGAATATCCAGCAGAAAGAAAGAGAAACCATTTATAGAAAGGCACATTTACGTGCATGTCAATGTTTTTTTTTGTTGTGACTGTCATTGATCAAAGTCTCATAATTTAAAAACTAATAAATAAAAATACAGTAAAATTTAAAAGCCAGTTTCTTATCATGTGAAATCTAAATTGTCGATACGTTTACCTCCCACTCCCAGGGGTAAAAGTAATATTTTGCTTTTTATGATACTTAAACCAGGAATTCCTGACTGTATGCTTCTTGACCATCAAGTCAAGTAGTAGTGCATGATAACTTATACAACATTCAGTATTTTATATATTATTGATTGCTTTTAGCCTACCAGCTAAAAGCCGCCCCGAAGGTCGCACCGCCTTCGCTTATGGATGTCATTGAGACAAAAAGATGAGCAGATTTTTATTTTTATTTTTCCCCTGACACATATAAGATTCCACATCTCGATAAAGATTGCAAACTTTACCACTTTTGCTCAAAAAAAGCGTGAACAAAATGCTTCATTAAGCCATGTCCTATGTTGTAAATTTCCCAACTATTATGGTAAAATGTCATAATACTTAGCCTGTGGAAAAAAAAAACCCTAACTGTTTCCGAATTGCGAAATAAAGTTTTAATAATCATTACGTTACGATTTGCATTATTTTTTAAACAGGCTTAATCCATCGCTACATAAGGCGTTTGTCCAAAGGACACGAAGTCCTAAGCGGTGTGGCTAAGTTAAGTTACGTTGCATTCTCCGTCACCCTGTTCTTGTGTGTTTGCCTGGGAAAACATTAGGTGGCGTTATTAATATGCCATAAAATATGTTATACCCAGCAGATTTATTCATCTTGTATGGCCTCTTCCCAGGCTTGTAGACAACATGAAAAACGCTGTCTAATTATGTCTGTAAACTGTGATGTATGTAAATGAATGGCTTCTGTTATGATTGAACGCTGAAGAAATTGCGCGTGGAAATGCGTAAGCGATTTTCAGCTTTTTTTTTTTTTTTCTAAAATCATTAAAAAAAACTTGTACTTCTGTCACTTATATATTGATCATTAAGGAACTTTCAGTGTCTGGGTATAAGCAACATGATGCTTTAGTTTAAAAACTGGATTCTTAATTTCCTTTGGCATTGTTTCCTGCAAGCAGGGAACACCTGAAAACGGACGCCATATAATCGAATATCAGAATTTGCAAATGTTTATCGGCCAAGGTGTTTTGTTTTCATACTATTGTCTTGATTTAGCCGCAATCAACATACTCGACATCTTCAATCTAGCTGAACGGAAAAGCCACGGGAAAAAAATTGCCGAACACGCAATTGCTCACTGCGTATTTCGCGTAGAACTATATCGATGTTATCTTTGCTCAACGCATAATTAGTCTAACAAAAAATAAAAGATTGCCGATTAATATCTATCATTTTGCATGAAATATCTCCTAAAAGAGTGATACGCAGTTTATCTCTTTAGGGCGCAATAAGAAATGATTAGTTTTTTCTTCAAATACATTATTCATGTTGGAGCTCTGGGCATTTCATTTAATGCAAACTATGATAATTATGTTCTGTTTGTAGTGTATTATTTTTTGACAGGATGTTAGTGAGTCTGTCTTGTGATTCGCCGACAGTCACCTCTTGGTGTCGGCGTGTGTAGGCTCCGTTGGTATCTCGCATATCTATTTTCCGAGAACAATCCGCAAAGATCAGTTGCCTGTAAGACACTGACCTTGAGCCCACCAGCCGGTATGAACAGCTCAACAGCCAACGGTTCCATCGGACCCACCTTGTGCTACACGTTAGAGTGTACTTTTACCAAAGGAGAACGCAACTTTATCGTCTTCTCGCTGTTTTTCATTGTGGCGATATCACTTCTTGGCAATATTCCCATTCTGATTGCCACTCTGTTTTCTTCCAAGCGCCGGAATTCCTCCAACTTGTCGACTCTCAATCTAGTCGTATCAGATCTACTTATCACAATATTTTGCATACCCTTCGTAACTTTGGATTTGTACGTTTTTGACCATAACTGGATCTTCGGCCCAACGATGTGCCGTCTAGTAACCTTTGTACAGAATACTGCAGTCCTAGCGTCCTTGATGAATCTTTTGACCATAACATTCGAGAAGTTCCTCGCGGTGCGGTTTCCGTTTAATGTTCGGCTCCGAAAGAAGTTGGTGTGCCACTTTATGCCTGTCGCGTGGATCATAGCAATAGCAGATTCAATTTTTTACGTCCGGTTCAAAAAAATGAAAAAATTTGGCGACAACTTTCGTTGCTCGGAGGTCTGGCCAGATTCTGAAACATTCCGAAATGCAACTATAGCGAAGCTAGCGATCTTTTTTGGTTCTTTAATGCTGATTTCCATTTTCCATTCGATAACAATTTACACACTTGTGAAAAGAAAGAGAAGCTTCCATCTTCAACTGCACAGAAGTGAAAGGGATTCTTTCAGGAGAGTTCTTAGTAAGCACAAACGACAAAGAAAAGCCGTGAAGATTATCTTACTGAACTTGATTGCCATAATTATCTGCTGGGCGCCGATTTATATTTTCTTGTTTCTCTTCACATTTGTCTTTTCCGGAAAATTTAGCCCGACAAGTGTGAACATTGGTTACACCGTCTGTGTTTGGCTATTGTTCAGTCACTGTTCTGCTTCTCCTTTAATCTACTTCTTTATGACGCAAAAAGGTAAAGAAACCATCGCCCTGTGTTCCCTTTGCCTCAGAACCTGCAGGCTTCAGGGAAAAAGCTCTAACATGGGAGCCCTGCTGCTCGACAGTTCAAACAACCAAGGAGGAAGTGTTAGAACGACAGGAAGATATTCAAGCTGGCGAAGAAGTTCCACACCGGGGGCCGAAACTCGGTTGTAATTAATTACCGCGGCCAAGTTGTAAACCTGCGCTCATAAAAATGGTGATGATTCGCCGTCGAATGCTCGCCCTAACCGGCGTCTGAGCAGATTGTTTAAACGTCCATTTGATCGAAAACCGCAAGAAATTGCAACACTGGTTTTACAATCTAGATCTGTGGATGACATTGTCAAGCCTGAAGGCGCTATCAGTAAACCCACAGGAGACCTGTATTCCGCTAATATATTGCTTACTTCGAGAATCCTGTCGAAAGATTTCAAGACCCAAAACTCAGGATTCAGAATTATGAAAATGTGCAATGTTTATTAATCATGGTGTAACGTCTTAATATAAATCTTTCAAGAGTAAATAACGCAGAGAAGCAAGTAACAGGTAATGATGGCAAAGAATAGTCGTCTGTTAATTCCCGGTGGAGCTAAACAATAATAGGTATGCTCGTCCTACAATTTTAGAAAAACGCCTTTATCGTACTGGAATTTAAATTCTTAGGTGTGACTCGTGTTCATTTTTATCCTAAGAGATACTAGATGTAGAGTTTCTTCAATCATTGATAAGTAATATGTGTCATCTGTCGGTTAAGAACCAGATTCTGGAGAAAGGAAGTTATTAATGTCAACTTCAGTTCTTGAGAACTAGGTCCTGTTAATTAAGACCTACTTTGAAATCGTTCCGGCTTAAACTGGAAATGAAACTAAGGACAGAACTGAACACTGTAAATGTCTCGTTCAGCGATATCAAAACAAGATTTTCCACGCCGTAACATTTAGCTACGTCAAGCATGCCCTTCAGTGCACCTCCCCCGCCGCCTGCCGGAATTATTTCTGTCTCGTTTGGCTCTTCGAGCTCTTTCAAGAGTTTCTTCCTTATATATATATCTTAATTAATTGGCAAACATGCATTGTCTTGGCCATTATGGCGTTTAGTTTTCTCCCTTTTTCGCTAATTTTTGTTTAATGTTTGTTTTTATTTCAATCCGCGATTGGTTGGAAATCGTTTGTGCCGTTTGTAAAATAACCGAAATAATGTTGTTAACAGTCTACCGAGGAAAACCTAATGTTATCGGTTTTCGATCCACTATCTTTATGTAAGTCTGAAAACAGAAATCGAAAAATGCATTGTAAAAACTTGTAGTAAGCCAGTAACATAAGATACCTCTTACTCCTGAATTAGAATGACATGTATGAAAAATGTGTAGACAACTTGGTGTAAGGGAAATAAAGGTTTTAACTTATCTTGATCGCTAACTCAAGCTGTGCAAATTTCTTCAGCCAATTTCAGTGGTAAATGTATAAATGTACAATCAGATAAAAGCAAGCAATTAATTACTGGAGTCACAGTGGGTTGCAACTCATTAACAAAGCCAAAAACGGTAACCACTGTTTACTGCTTGTAGAAAAACAAAGAAACGGGTCTGTCTGGGTCATTCGCCCTATGTGAAGGGCAATTACAGAGTCTAATTATTTTTAAACATTTAGCTCGCATATTAATGAGAGGTGATTAGGGTGGGGGCGTTTAGCCTACAATCCATACATGATCTGATGATAAAATCCACATGAAACCCACATGCATTATAAGCAACTAATTAACACATTGGAAAACATGATGGTGTAATTTGTCGATATCTAAAATTTATTCACAAGGAATCTCTCTCTGTCCGCGATAGAAGATCACTGAATATCACGCTAACTTGAGTGAACATGTCTTGTGTTGGAAAATCAGTCGCAAGTGCTCGCTTGTGAGCGTCCGAGAATATCTAGCTAGACTTGAATCTGCCTCCCAAAATTTACTTTCAAATTCCAGTGCCTTCAATAACATATCACTTAGCTGTACTGGTTTCTTGGGCGTAGAGGTTCTTAAGTGGTCTCAACGATGTCTTTAATGAGTAAACCAGAACATGCCTGCTGGACTAAGGAAAGCAATAATTCCAACCAATCAAGAATATGGACTGGAATTTTTTTAAATTAACTTCGGTCCCAGCTAAGTTTTAGGGAGTTCGACTTCTTGACAAAATTAACTTCATTGAAACCCCACGTTGTTTAATGCTAGGTCTTTCATCAGGTAAACAGCGGGAAACAGAGTTAAAAGTAAGGAAAGTATATGTGTGGGTTGAGGTTCACGCAGAGAACAGCCTTCGATTCCAAACTCGGCACGAACTACAGAGTTGTAATAGTCACAACATTTCTGCATTTTAATTGGCCATTGAGGGAACGTCTGAAGTATTGAATACAGCAGGGAAGTTTGTTTGGTGGGACACATTTTCTGTTTCATTCTAAGCTGTGGAGCTTTCACTCACCTCCTATTCAGCGACTTTTTATTGAATTGGTGAATTTGTTCATTAAACGCTGGCCAGTCGCGAAACAGCAGCGATAGAGATTAAAATCCTCATTTTAAGTCCAGTTGAATATTCTGTTTCAATTCCATCGTTTAAATGCGATGCAAATGCTGTAGATAACCCGTAAATTTGTATCGAGTCGATCCCATTAGGCGAATAATATATTCCAAGCGACGGTTTCGTTAAAATTCGTTTTCCTTATCTTTTTTGTCAAATTTGGTTATCAGTCATACCGCTTGCGCAAACTCCATTATTACTGAACTACATGTGGCTCAGCAAGAAAGAGACTGAAGGTATGCTTACGCCATATCTTTGATATTGAATAGTGAAATTATACATCATGAAACGATTCAATTGTGGGTCAAATTTGCACAACAAAATAAAATATCCCTTTGCAATATTGCACAAGCACGTAAAAATTAACGACAAAAGCGAACGACTTATCGGAGTCGTCATGGCACCATTTTGGTTGCTTTAAGCCACATGGCGTCATATGCGAGGAAAAAAAAAACCCAAATGGTGGCCTTGAGTAGAGAAGACGAAGAACTGCTCTGAATTTGTTTCCACATATTGATTTTTTAAAGGATAAACAGAAAGAATGCATCGAAGTATTATTAGAGAAGAAAGATGTTTTGGGTCTGCTCCCGACAGGTTTCGGGAAAAGCTTGATTTATATCACCTTTTCCGGAAGATTCACTTGTTGGTGAATGGCGGTGAAAGGTGCCATGTCATTGTCGTCGGTGCGTGAAAAGCAATAACTGAAGAACAGTTTCTGGAACTTAACGAGTTTGGGATCGCGGCTATAGCGATTGGCGAGAGTCAGAAGATCGATGACGAGATTCTAGAAGGGAAATGGAGGTTGTGTTTGTGATACAAATCTATAGCGCGTTCGTTTATTGAATCAACAGTCACATACCGAGCTTGCGCGGCCTAGCGCCTGTGCATATATTGGTCACAACAACAAACACCCTGATATATAATTAAACACTATTTTGTGGCGAGAAACAAAAAAAAAATGCGTGTCAAAAGTAAATGCAGGTCTGCATGGAGTGCACGGTCCGCAGTCTGCGGTCTGCAGTCTACATGGTCTGCACGGTCTGCAGTCTGCATGGTCTGCATGGTCCGCAGTCCGCNCTGAAGAACAGTTTCTGGAACTTAACGAGTTTGGGATCGCGGCTATAGCGATTGGCGAGAGTCAGAAGATCGATGACGAGATTCTAGAAGGGAAATGGAGGTTGTGTTTGTGATACAAATTTATAGCGCGTTCGTTTATTGAATCAACGGTCACATACCGAGCTTGCGCGGCCTAGCGCCTGTGTATATATTGGTCATAACAACAAACACTCTGATATATCATTAAACACTATTTTGTGGCGAGAAACAAAAAAATGCGTGTCAAAAGTAAATGCATGTCTGCATGGAGAGCATGGTCCGCTGTCTGCGGTCTGCAGTCTACATGGTCTGCACGGTCTGCAGTCTGCATGGTCTGCATGGTCCGCAGTCCGCGGTCTGCAGTCTGCACGGTCTGCAGTCCGCGGTCTGCAGTCTGCATGGTGTGCGTTTTGGGGTGACCGGGTTTGACAAAACTTTGGTAGGAAAAAATCACCGTTCGCACTTGTAAAACGGAACTGCTGACAGATATTTTTGCAAAATGAACAAAAATAAAGAAAATTGGCTTGGTGCGTACGACCTCAGCTCTTAACTTGTTTAGAAAAACGCGTTAAAATAAGCTAAGTTTATGGAGCTCGAAACTTACCGCGTGTGGAGACGTACTACGTTGTACTTCTTTGCGATCAAGAATATCGAGATCGCTGAAGCGTTTTCCTTTTAGCATCATTGAGCCCAATGAGCCATCCAGTTCCATACACGTCAAGGTTGCTCCTCCATTCAATGCAGACGCCACAAACTCCGCAGCGCAGAGCTAAGGATTTCAATCTTTTTCCAAGCTTCATAAAGGCTCTTGAAGGGATTGACGAAAGGGCCCTTCTTTAATTGATACTGGGACCGAGAGTCACGATCGCTGAATTTATCTTCGTAAATCTTCGTGCAGTTGTCGGCAAAAGCAAAATGGCGGCACGAGTTTCGAAGACGTATTTTGGACGACGACTAGAGCAATTTGAATCGAATCAAATTCAATCTTTCTTATTTTACACTGCTATCTCCTAAAACGTGCAAGGTATGTGATTTTTATTAATTTATGAAAGGTGTTATGTGGAACCAGACATTAAAAAATTGGAGATGTTTTTAGGGTGTTACGGACAATAATTGCTCTCTTGCAAGAAATTTTCGTCTCCAGTATCTTCGTCTCCGTTTTGCCCCGGACGGACAAAAAGCGACATAAAGAAAATAACATTACATATGGAGATGCAATTCTTGTTAAGCAATTATTGTGAGTAGCACCCTCAAAACATCTTCAATTTTTATTTGTCCGGTTCCGATTCCGGTCCCACTTCCGGTTCCGTTTCAGGATTCCGGATTCTACCTTTTCCATACGCCAACTGCAGACTGTAGACCAGGGCTAAAATGCAGACTGCAGACTGCAGACCGGAGGTAAAATGAAGACCACGGGTAAAATGACGTTGGAAATGATAGAATTAAATACGTATTTATCTGATATTTAGCATGCTTGAAGACTAATCACTGTCACACCAAGATGGGGTTCAACAAATGTATTGACAAATGACAAACATAGAATCTAAGAGAAGATAGACCCCCAAACTCCAAGGTGTTTTACTCAACGGTGAGTTTTTAAGAGGTGTCGAGAACTAAATAAACTATATAGACATCCAAGAACTTAATAAACAGAGACCGAGGCCTCAGCGTTTAAAAGGAAAAAGTAGCACCTCCTCTTCCTAAACTATGGGGAGAGTATTGTGTGGGGTCCAACCTAATGTTAACAATACAGGACTTAAGGAATTTAGCAAAATGATGCCCTCCAACAGGCTTGAATCCTGTTGGGGTGTGAGTAGTAAATAGCGGTGCTTGACTGTCCTGGGTCCAATTACTAAGATGATGTTTTGGTTTTGTATACCCGGGGAAAACAGTGGTCCTGTTGAAAGCTGACACCACACACTTAAAGATCTTAAGGTTGCGGTTAGATCTATTGTAAATTTACATATGTAACCTAGTCTTAGCTCTTATATATTTATTTCTTGTAATTTTTTAATTTCAATTTTCTTTCGTTTAAAGTTATTTTTCTCGGTAAATTAGCATAATCTTGCTAGAGGCCTAATCAGCCTCATCAACCCGACTTGAAATAAAGTTATCTATCTATCTATCTATCACACATTCGTAAGTGAATAGCTGAATTACTAACAACATTTGCTTTAGTGGTGGGAGCTAAATTTGATTTCCGCAAATAACGAAAAAAAGGCAACAAGGAAAACTGCCCACACGGAAAAATACAAGATAAAATGAAAGTCCAATAACTTGAAAATGACTAACAAAATGTCTAATGTCTACTAAATGTTACGTACTGGTGGTTTCAGTTAGCAAGCACACGTTTGGAAGCCTGTTTGAGAACATTAACCTCTGCAAAAAAGGTAGCATTGGCTCCTAAATATAGACTCACTTGCTTAAGGCAACTCAGATAATTATTTGCAGAATTATATGATGAAAAAGAACCTACAAGGAAGGCTAAATAGAGCCAATAGACCTGTTCAGTTGCTGGAAAGGCGAGTAGGTTATAAACTCTACAAAACAAGAAATAGGCTCGAAGCCTGAGTTATGCGCGTACGCAGTGTTTCTTCACTGAGTGCTGATTTCTTGACCAGACCAAGGTAATGGACTAGGGATTCTACAAAGTGGGTAATAAAATACTAATGTTAAATGCCAGCAGATTAAGTGTAGGTTAACGGAAAACAGCCGTGGGTCGACTGGAACTGGGTGCAAATCAAGAGCAACTGTTACGGCCTGGAATTATGATTGGTTCATGGCATCAGTGTGCCACATGCTAAGACAATCAGCTAATGTGTTTTCACGACCAGGAATGTACATGTGCTCAGCCTTGAGCGTGATATTGTTAACCGCTAATGTGAGCCACAATTCCCATAAACAGGTTTGTAAGAAATTATTCCTGCTACGCATAGAGTTGATCAT